CGATGATAAAAATAACCACCGGAAAACGTTTCATAGTAGTCCCAGTTCCTAGTTGAAAACAATTATAGCCCTATTGCAATGCATGAATTCATATTAGTGTTATGGGATTTACACCTATTCATGCATATTCCATCTGAAATCGGCCCATTCAGAGCGAAGGCCTGTACTTAAGTTCGAATAAAATATGGTGCACTTTTAATATGTTGGCCAACCTAAGCGTCATTGTTTTACAGAATAAGCATTATCAAATCGTATTTGCATGGAAATGTACATAAGCAACCTGATTGATGTTAGAAATAAGGAGCCTTAAATTAATGGTTGGCAGGTAGTCAGAATTGACCAATTGAAAACTATGGGGATGAAAATTCTTGAAAATTGTGATAGTTTTCCACTTGTAATTAAAATTATTGGTGGACTCTTGAGCACAAGATACTCAAGTGAGCGTGAGTGGAAAGCTGTTTTGAGCAAGCCTGCATGGTCACTAACCGGACTAACCTCCAGAACTAGATAGACGGCTATACTTGAGCTACGAGGACTTGTCTCCCCAGGCTGTTTCTGCACTGCTCACTGTTCCCTGAAGGTTAAAAGTTCATACAGGACGTAGTTACTGAGATGTGAACACTACCATGCAAATGATTTTTACATACGGTCGAAAATAATTTTTAGGGCCTGCTATAAAAACCGTTACTATGCCATCAATTATAAAAATAGTCATTTTCAAGGGCGGTTTCTAGGTACTGTTCTCTTAAGACAACTGTACCTAAAAATCTATTTTCAGTGCCGGTTTTGTTAAGTAAACCATCCGTAAAAATCATTTTCAGACATCGTTCCCTAAAAATGATGTTAAAACCTTCTTAAAAATTGTTTAGAAGTCGTAAAAAATAAGAAAAAGATTTTTTAATGTGGCAGGAGGCCTACAGATTTGACCACCAATCACAAGATTTAATTTTGAGTTTATTTTGCACAAGTGCATCTACGAGGATTTGAACGCACAACGTCTCACCTCACACATACCATCCCTTACCATCACATACACAATCACTTGTGACTACATATATGATGCTATGCTTTTGCACTGACATGTACAAATCTTCTGATCAATATTTCAACTCAAACAATCTTAAATGGGAAAATTTTCAACACAAACTTTTAGATCCCGCCGAGCACTACAACTTTGATATAGGGCGTGTCTCTATCAAGATCATTTGAAAAATTCAAAAATTCAAAATTCAAAACCCAAAAATTTAATATATATATATATATATATATATATATATCTAGGCCCCTAAACGAGCTCCAATAAAATTTTCATCAACAATAAAGTTTTAGATCTCGTCGAGCTCTACCATTTTGATATAAATTTTGTCTTCATCTGACTTCATTTGAGAAAGTTATAAATTTATTTGTGTTGCAGCTATTTCTAAGGGTGAATGACTAAGTCAACTGCCCTTCAAAATCGATTTCTAGGGGGCGGTTGACTAAGTCAATGGCCCCTAGAAATCATCCATTTTCTGGGGAGGTTGATATAAGCAATTGTCCTTGAAAATATGAGCCGATCGCCCCTGAAAATAGATATATTTGCAGGGACGGTTTACTTAACAGAACCGCCCTAGAAAATATATTTTTAGAGACGGTTTGTAAGCTACAGTGCTCCCAAAGCTGGTTAGAGATGATTTGCTAAGTAAACCGCCCTTGAAAGAAATCGGCGGCACCTATAAAAATGATTTCTGTAGTAGTGAAATCAATGTAGGACTTATTCAACCACTAGATAAAAGTACTAGTTCACATGAGTATGAGTTGGAAGAAATTGCAACTGAGTATTATGGAGAGCTAATAAAGAGGAATCATATAGAATCTATAAAAGAATATTCTCTTACTCAATATTGGTGCGCCATGCATGATGTGGTCTGTTTCTTTGCTGAATATACGGCAACAGAAGAATCGGTGGGGGTGGTTGGCAAAGAGCAGGCTGCTACTGGTGGTGGTGGGATGCTTGTACGTCGCCTCTCTGTATGACAGGCCGTATCAGTAATGTATTGGGCCATTTTGCAAAGGCGACAATAGCTTAGAACACTAATTATAAATTCTAGGCTGAACTTTCATCCGGGCGATTCATTGGGTTGTTTCTCTAGTCTGTGGGTACTGTACATACGGTCTGCTAATTTTGATGGGACAATACCCTTTCTATCTAAGCTGAAACATTTAAGATACCTTCAGTTAAATTATATTTTTATATCTAGCCTACCAGATGACATCCACAAAATGAAGTTTCTACGGTACATTACCCTTGGCAATTGTGGAAAGCTGTTCCATCTTCCAAGCAGCATCATAAAACTAGTGCATCTGGGATCTCTTGACCTTGAAGGATCAAATATCGGTGTTATGTCCAAGGGGTTTGTTGGGTTAACAAATCCGAGGTCACTCTGTAGGTTGTCAGTACATGTAGATCATGGACGCGGGCAGTAAGTGAAGCAGTTTGAAAGAGATAGCACCCCTTTCTCAGCTTAGGGATCTTTCCCTATGTGGCCAAGAGAAGGTGCATGATAGCTGGATGGGCTGAAAAAGCCATGGTTAGGAGGGGCCACCTTTGATATCTAGAGTTGAACTATAGTGCTAGCGTACATAGCATGGGGCCAGGTGCTGAGGCCAAAAAACAGCAAAAATAAAGTGTGATTGAAGAATCTTGAAAAAGTTCCATCCTCCAACCTGCATAGAGAATCTAAATGTGAGGGGGAGATACACGTGTCACCAGCTACCAAACTGCTGGATGCGTGCTCCAGCATTGGCAGACTTTAAGAGCTTGAGGTATTTGATGTTGGAGAACCTGCCTTGCTGCACCAAGCTCCCTGATGGCCTGTGCTGCATCCCAGGTTTGGAACTACCGACCATCATAAAGGCGCCGGCCATCAAACATATTGAACCCCAATGCCAAACGTCATCCTTGTGATGATTCAGAGTTTGTGGGAAGCATTGAACCCTTGTGCAGGGCCGCACCTTTGTTTATAGGGCCGGCAACAACCGCCAGCATGGCAAGTACAGGAGCGATCACAGTGATTGATAGTTGCCTGATTACTACATCTATATTGGGATACCTATCTCTCATACAAGGAACAAAACAATCTACTCTAAAAGGCATCCATCAATCACTGGTGTCACTAGAGTTACATTTATATACATGAAAGATATTATCATGCTAACAGGCCCCCTCAATTAAGATTGTGCCAAAACTCTTCTAGTTTGGATGTGAAACCATCTGCAACTTGATCATGTGTTGATATAATTTGAACATCTAGCTGTCCTTGTACTACTCTCTCTAACAAAGTGATAGTCAACTTCGATGTGTTTTGTTCTAGCATGAAACACTGGATTGGCCGAAAGATATGTAGCACCAATGTTATCACACCATAATCGTGCTCGAGTTGTATACCAATTTCTTTCAATAAAGTTTGTATCCAAATTACCTCTGCCGTAGCATTTGCCATCGCCTTATATTCTGCCACGGTGCTTGACCTGGATACCGCGGCTTGTTTTCTAGCACTCTAGGAGACCAAATTGTTGGAGTTGTTCCAAATTCACTCCAGGATATAGGCCGGGCTTCTGACGGAGCGGAGCGGAGGCCCGTCGCCGGAGGCTTGGGCCGGAGCGTACGGTATATACACCCTTGCTAGGGTTTCGTGGAGACTTGATTCTCTTGTAAGCCGCCATAGGCGTGTAACCCAAAACTCTTGAGATAGTGAGATTGTTGCTGGCTGGTGCCCGTGGTTTTTCCCCTTCACATCGGAGGGGTTTTCCACGTTAAATCGTGTGTCTCCTCTGTGGCTTGATTCTTTACTTCATATTCCTATACGTCGTTCATAACACAAATTTGAACCCACAAATATAGCAAAACCACTTGTCGATCTTCTGTCATCTAGTGACCCAGCCCAATCTGCATTTGAGAAAGTACTAACAAGCATAGACTGACTTTTTCTTATGTTTAACCCATAGCTCAATGTATGATTAACATGTCTTAATATTCTTTTTACAGCAGTCCAATGGACAGTTGTAGGTGAATGCAAAAACTGACATACCTTATTTAATGAGAAGGAGATCAGATCAGGTCTTGTCAATGTTAGGTACTGTAATGCTCCTACAAGACTCCTGAACTTTGTAGCATCTTCTGAGCCCAATGGTTTACCAATATTAACTTAGAGTTTTTTAGATAATGCCAAGGGAGTGGACACGGGTTTGCATGTTTCCATGCCCACTCTTTTAAGAATGTCATATGCATATTTTTTCTTGTGTCATAAGAATACCGTCTTCAATTTTCTTCACTTGAATACCAAGAAAATAATTAAGATCACCAAGATCCTTGAGAGCAAACTCACTTCTAAGGTCTTTCAATAATGCAGGAACAGCCTTGGAACAAGAACTTGCAACAACAATATCATCAACATATATCAACAAGAAAATAGTGATTCCTTCTCTACTATAAAAGAAGAGTGATGTATCAGCCTTAGAAGGTTTGAAACCCAGTTTTTGAAGTTTCTGGCTTAAGCGAGAATACCAAGCTCGGGGTGCTTGTTTCAAGCCATATATAGCCTTATCCATCATACATACATACTGTGATGCAGGTTTTTGCTCATACCCAGGAGGTTGACTCATATAGACCTCTTCCTCTAGAACACCATGAAGGAACGCGTTCTGCACATCAAGTTATCATAGACACCAACTCTAGAGACCGCTATAGATAAAATAATTCTGATAGTGGCAGCTTTCACTACAGGACTGAAATTATCTTCATAGTCAATACCATATCTTTGTTTAAAACCTTTAGCGACCAACCCAGCTTTATATCTTTCTATACTCCCATCAGCCTTTCTTTAATTTTGTACACCCACTTGCAGTCTATGATACTTTTAACCCCACTAGATTAAACTAAACGCATGTATTGTTGGCCATAAGGGCCCTATATTCTTCATCCATTGCAGCCTTCCAATTTTTATCTCTTAGAGCTTGTTCTAGATTTTGAGGTTCTCCTGAACTAGTGACGTCGCTGGTTCAGCGCCACTAACGACATCACCTATGATGCTGGCATGATGTAGCCCCCTTGGCGATGTGGTGGCTTCTGAGGGGCTCGGCACCTCTATGTCAAGGTGCTGGAAGGATGACGTGGTGGCTGCTGGTTCAGCACCACTAGCAACATCTGTAGGTCCAGGGAGATAGCCTTCAGGTCCAGCGTGAGCCAGCACAGAGACTGCACCATCTATTTCCTGCAACAAAGAAGCACCAAATTCTCCAATTTTTGCACTGTTAGAATTATCAGGATCAGGACTATCAGTAAATTGATCTAAATGTTGTTCCTCAGTGGTGACCATATCAGATGGAAGAAGGAGAATTTGAGATCGTAGAAGAGCTACTGCATTAGGATGCAGCTTGGCAAATGGAAAAACATCTTCATCGAAGACAACATCACGAGATATGTAGATGTGACCACTGTTGATCTCAAGACACTTAAAGCCTTTGTGAAGATTGCTATAACCAAGGAAAACACATTGAGTGGATCAAAATTCAAGTTTATGCATATTGTAGGGGCGTATAAATTTGGCCAACAAGCGCATCAAAAAATGCGAAGAGATGAATAATTTGGAATTTCCCTGTGGAGACTCGAGCGGTCACATAGCCGGCACGGGCCCAAGGACGCCCCTGCACCATGTCCTCTGCTTTGTCACCTGCACTGCACCAATATATGCAAGGCCCTCTGCTTTCTGATGGTGGCAGAGCAAATGGGCAGTACGAGGACGAGCATATATTGTAAGAAGTGACTGCAGAATATTTTTTAGATAAAGGAATAAATACCTGGCTTCATCCTTTGTGACTAAGAGAATCAGACCAATTATTACAACAATTTAGATAAAACCAAATTTATCCTACTCAAAATTCAATTCAATGATTATTTGGCCATCCAAAAGAAGCAAAGAACTGCTTAGCGGCTGTTTCTAGCACACGACAAACTTAGAAGATTCGCTCTTTATTTTCTTCAAGCTGTTCGAACAACGGTCAGTGATGCAGCCAGCACGTTCCCCAGAACAGTTTTGGATTGACAATTGCTAAAAACCATTTCATTTCTTGTAAGCCATATTGTCCAACAAATGGCAGCACCTCCAAATAATAGCGAGGTATTGTTTGATTTATACCCCCGCTTGTTCCATCCATGAAAATAACAAGAATATTTATTGGAGATCATAGACCTAAAACCAAATAAACTGCTTGCCAAAGGAATTTAGCATAGGTATAGTAAAAAAAAAGAGGTGTCTAATTGTTTTATCTGTACAACAAAACACACAAGATTTGTTCCTGCTCAAATTCCTTTTTTGCTAAGTTATCTTTGGTTAAAATCACTCATCTCTTTAGGAACCACAAAAAAAAATTTAATTTTCAATGATATCCTTAAATGCCAGATTTCCTACGAGAGGATAATGCCATATTGATAAGGTGCTTGTACATGCAATTTACTATGAAGGAATAATTACTTTCCAAAAGCCAAAAAAAAGTATCCCTTTCAACTTGTAAACCAATGTTTGGAATTCATGCTACGAGATTATTTAACTATAACAACTTATTCCCTACTAATGCCCATATAAAGAAAATATTAAGAGGAACAATATTGAGAGTTGAAGCCACTGTAGCTTATTTTCGTCGAACAATATTTAAAGATTTGGTTATTGTGCTTTTAGAGGATGTCTTCCCAACTAGGTATCCTCCCAGAACCTGATTTGAGACCCATCACTCAGTTTAAATTTTCCTAGCTTTATGAATTGGTCCTTCACCCCCATTAAACTCATCCAAAATTAGAATGACCAGCCCTTTTGGAAATCTGTGTTAAGGTCTTGTCATAAATGCATTTATTCTGGAGAAGTTGTCGCCACGTACCATCTTCATTACACAACTTAAACAACCACTTACTTAACAAACATTTTTTTGAATGTCTATGTTTTGAATACCTAAACTACCATTCTCTTTGGGTTGGCAAATGATGGACCGCTTTGCTAGTCTATATTTCTTTTTATGTTGGTCATATTGCCAGAAAAATCTTGATCTATAGTACTCTATTTTCGTTAGCACTTGTCTAAGGATCTCGAAAAAAAGGTCAAAAACATAGCTAAATTGGACAATACTGAATTAATTAGAACTAATCTATCACGGTATCACCTAAGGAGAGCATTTTTCCTTTCCAACTACACAACCTCTTTTCTATCATTTCTTCAATTGTTTTTCTGTCTTTATTATTGAGCTTTTTGTAGTGCATTGGTATCCCCAGGTAACGGAAGGGGTATGTTCCTAATTTGCAGCCAAATAATTGTGAATATTGCATATCACAATGTTTAGCTTGCCCAAAATAGAAGATTTCACTTGTATGGAAGTTTATTTTGAGACCTGATAATTGCTCAAAAGTGCATAAAAGCAACTTCATGTTCATTACTTCTTGAATATTATGATCTAAAACAAAACTGTACCATCTGCATATTGCAAGATAGATAAACCATCTTCTATTAAATGAGGTACAACCCCTTCCACTTGTCCATTCTCTATGACTCTTGAAATGATGATGGCTAACATATCCACCACAATGTTAAATAAAATCTGGGACAACGGATCACCTTGTCTTAAGCCTTTTTTTTTAAATATGGACCAATCTCGTCATTCACTTTAATGCCTACATTTCCACCCTGAATAAAAGTATGAACCCAGCTACACCACGTCTGAGGCAAATTTTTCATCCTTAAAGTTTGCTGGAGGAAATCACATTTAACTGTGTCATAAACCTTTCATAGCGATGGAGTATTGGTCGGTAAAAAGTTGTATACCATCAATGCTAGCGTCCAACTATCCGTCGGCATAACTTTATACACTACTAGAAAAATGATTTTAGGAGACAGGGCCAAATCATTTTCGGAGACAGGAGCACATAGCGACCGCCTTCGTAAATGGTTGTGGGGGCTCTAGAAAAATGCCCGTCTCTGAAAATCATTTACAGAGGTGGGTGTTCGTCTCCGTAAATCGATATTCGGAGGTGGGCATCTTAATTCGATCGTCTCTATTAATTGATGATTTTTGGAGGTGGTCGTTCTATGCGTTCATCTCCTAAAATCGATTTATGGAGGTAGGCATCTTAAGATGTCTATCTCTATAAATAGTTGCATCAAAAAACAATTCATAACTTTTTCATATAAACTCGGATGAAGACAAACTTTGTATAAAAATTATAGTTCTCGACGAGATCTACAACTTTGTGGTCGAAAAGTTTTTGAATTGTCATGACCTGAAGTCGTTCAACTGAAACCCTCCCAAGACTCTCCTTTATAACCTTGCACAGTCCCTCAAACTCCCAAGGATCGTCTTATCGTTCTACTTGAAAGATTCCTAGTGATCTATACTAGGACAAGTACTCCAAATTCGCAACCCAATCTTGTCAAATCTCTCAAGTCAACTGAAGTCCACTCAGGGTCATCGATGGTCAACCAACGGTCAACTTCGAGAAGATGCTTGAGGAAGGATGTTACTTGACCTATCTAACCTCTCCCTAAGTGATTACCAACACCTAGGACATGAAGAATGGCCCCAATGCCAAGAACCCGTTTTCCTCTAAGTCAATTTCTCAAAGACAGAGAATTGACAGAACGTCCCAACCAATTTGACGGATCGTCCATCAAATCATAAGTTCAGCAGAATAAGAATTGTAATAAGCTATCCTCCACTCTCTCTAGTGGGACCCACTGGTCAGCACGAGTTGGGATGTATCCTTAGCAGAATCAACACCATCCCACTCACTCTCGTTCACTCTCCCATTCCCCACTTTCCCTCTCTCTCTAGAAAGGATGAACAAGAGAGACGAAGTGAAGGACAAGAAGAGAAGGAAGAGAAAGAAAAGAAAGGGAAAGCAAAGATCAGCACCATCTCAACCATCAAGAGCACCTCCATCTCCCTATCATCTCATGGTTAGCTCAAGAGTTCTCCCCTCATTTTCTTGAAATCTCCTCTCAAACCCTAACTCATGATTTTCTACATGCATGGATGCAATGTGAAGCTCACTCTCGAGATTTGCCTCTTTGCGAAGGCCCCGAGGCCCTCGGCAAAACCCATTAACCCTCGGCAAAGGTTTTGCTGAGGGCGCCCCCAACAAAGAGCTCTCGGGAATTTTGAGTCGGTGAAGAGGGTCTTTGCCGAGGGCCCTTTATCGAGCACTTTCAAAGAAAGCCTTTGCCGAGGGCTGGAGCGGCACTCGGCAAAGAAAAGCAGCCGTCATGGCGCCGGCGCCTGGGGCGGAGTCTTTGCCGAGGGCCATCTCCGGGGGCCCTCGGCAAAGAATTATTCTTTTTTTTTGAAAAATCTTTGTTGAGGGTCTCCAACCATGGCCCTCGACAAAGAAATATTGCAGAATTTTTCCAAAAAATCTTTGCCGAGGGCAACGGGACGGCCCTCGGCAAAGAATTATTCTTTTTTTTTTTTGAAAAATCTTTGCCGAGGGCCTCCAACCATGGCCCTCGGCAAAGAAATGTTGCAGAATTTTTCCAAAAAATCTTTGCCGAGGGCAATGGGACGGCCCTCGGCAAAGAATTATTCTTTTTTTTTTTGAAAAATCTTTGCCGAGGGCCTCCAACCATGGCCCTCGACAAAGAAATGTTGCAGAATTTTTCCAAAAAATCTTTGCCGAGGGCAATGGGACGGCCCTTGGCAAAGAATTATTCTTTTTTTTTTGAAAAATCTTTGCCGAGGGCTTCCCCGTAGGCCCTCGGCAAAGAAATTTTAATTTTTTTTAAAAAAAGTCTTTGCCGAGGGCCTTCAACCATGGCCCTCGGCAAAGAAATGTTCCAGAATATTTGCAATGAATCTTTGCTGAGGGCAATGGGACGGCCCTCGGCAAAGGACCCTTCTTTGCCGAGGGCCTTGGTCATTGCCCTCGGCAAAGAGGCAGAAATTTAATTTTTTTTTGTTTTTTGCATTCCATCGACACAAGCATTTCATATATATACATATATATATCAACCATCACATATATATATCACACAGAACCCATTTTCTCACAATATATCACAACCATAATTGTGAATCACAAATCACAATATATTACAACGACAAGTCACATGTTCATCATCATTCACATGTTTATTATGACAAGTTCATGAAATCCAAGCACAAGTCAGAACCATAAACCACAAATATTACAATAAAGTCCAACCACATCACCTAGCACTAGTCCTCATCAAGGTAGCCTATGAGACGGTGGTGAAGGAAAGGTGGGATCACCCGGTAACGCACTACCGGGATGATTGGAACCCGTGGACGGAGGCTGCACAAAGGAGCAAAGATTGCATGTGTGAGTAATCCGGGAAAACAGTTTTAGAACTTAGAGATTGCATCTAGTAATATAGTGATCGACGTGCTAATCAAGACGCTGCATTCTCCGGAGCTGCGGTGCTGCACTGGCTCTCCTGTCCTGTGTCAGGTGGTCGCCGACACGCCGTAGAGAGCCCGGGCAGGTGCCCAGGGTCGCCGGGCCCTGGGTCCTATGCAGATTACCATGGAAGTATGGAACTGTAGCTTTTACCTTTCCTCAAAAACTGCAGCTTATACCAGTTGCTGGTTGTTTTTCGTTGAAGTGGGACCCTGAACATTGCATGACAGAAGTGTAGTCATGACGCATACCAACTGAAAATGAAAGGGAATTTTCTCTAATGTCATTCGTTAAAACTTGTATCTTTCATCTGTCACTAAAAAACTCAAATCTTATCGATGCCACTACATATAAATTTCAATCTCTTTCACGCCATTACTGATCATATTCTGATAGTCTTGGCCAATAGACATCGAAAAAGCCAAATTACCCTTCTTCTCAGGACACAAATTTAGTTGTTTTCTTTTATGCTATCTTTTGTGGCTAAACAACTTAATCGAAAACTCAAATGTATCATTTCGAAAATTTAAAAGTATAAAAGCTATGATGTCCGATACCAGAAAAAGCTATGATGTAGTTATTTTTTGAAATAAAAAAAAGAGTTAAAGGACTGAATATGTGCTTTTTGCAGTGGTCAATATTTGTAGTAAATGTGAATAAAACAATAACAGCTCAAGCAACAGTATTCTACCAAGTAAATACAGCTAAAACTTCCTAGTATGGAAGGTAGCTCAGCTTACAGAATTTTGGAGGACGTCTCTGTTCTCCTTGAGTCAATTGATGTCATGTGCCAGAGGCGTAGTAGTCGTACAACAGCTTCAGCAGATTCTCCTTAGCAAGCTAGTCACATTTGCGATCAGATACATCTGTGGTGTCTAAAAAAGGGCGTACCCAGTGCAGAGAGCTCCCGCTCTGTGCGGGGTCTGGGGAAGGGTGGGCCTGGTGCAAGCGGTAGAGTCTTACCGCCTGGGACCGGAAGGTCCCGGGTTCGAGTCGCGGTCTCCTCGCATTGCACAGGCGAGGGTAAGGCTAATTTTCAGTTATTTCCTAGTTCATCAAACAGTAAACCGATTTTTATATATGTCAATAGCATGTATTCTCAATTCCAATTTCCATCAACAGACTGATATATGTTGAGACGGCCGGATATTTTGGAACAGGTAAATCAAGAAAGATTAAAAAACACACAGATACAAGTAGTGAGAAAAAAACTGCAGAATGGTTCAAGAAACCAGAATATTTGGTGATAGCATTATTTTGAGGCATTACGCATGAATAAACATTGTAAGGAAACACATCAATCGAAGTGATTACGACTACGCCAAGACGGAAAATGATAGCCCTTGTACAGGATTGCTGGTAAGAAGACCACACATGGGCAGGAACCAGGCAAGCTGAGTCCAAGGAAATGATATTTAACTTTTTTACAAGAGGATCAGCAGGAGCACTCACAGGGCACGACTGGTCAAGGCTACATGATAGTGGTGGACGGGAGTGAGGGATGGTGGAGCTGATTGCAATATTGATGGCCCATGGCTGTGAGGGACCGAGGCGGTGGTGGCAGACCAGAGCAGCGGCGTCTGTTCAGGAAGGCGGATAATGGTCGAGATAATTTTTGGATCAAGAGCTACATTCTTGGCTCTCATTTCATGTATCAATTTCAGAACCTTGTTTATCTGGCCTTCAGCACTATAGCCTTTGATCAGTGAATCAAATACAGCAACATCAGGCACAAAGCCACTTGCAGTCATCTGTTTAAGCACCCTCTCAGCTTCTTCTAGGTCTCCTAATTTTGCATACATGTTGATTAGCATTGAATATGTCACGGCATCAGGAGCCAGACCCTCAACAAGCATATCCTTCATCAACTGTTTAACCAATTTCGTATCCCCTGATTTGCAAGCGCCATGGATCATTGTGCTATATGCGACAGCATCGAGCCCGTACTTCTTATCCATTTCATTGAACAGAACCATAGCTTGCTCCATCGTTCCCTGTTGACACATAGCTGCAAGCAAAGGAATATAGTGAAATAGCTCGGCTTTTATCCCATGTTGCCTCATTGTACGCAAGAACATTTCCGCACGGTCAACTTCCCACATCTTGCTGAAGCCATTTATCAATATGCTATAGGTGAATGAATCAGGTTCCAATCCAGAACTAGCCAGCTCATCCATTAAGTTCATAGCCATCTTAACCTTGTGAACCCTAAGGAATCCACCAATCAGATAATTGAAAGTCACCAAGTTACACATACACCCCCTCTCGGCCATCATCTCACGAACTTTGACTGCTTGTCTCATCCGACCGATCTTACATAGTCCATGTATAATTGAGTTGAAAGTCACCACATCAGGCTCAACTACAGTATCTCCTTGATTCATCTCCTCAAGCAAACCCATTGCCTCATCCATCTCAAGCACACCAGAAAGCCCTGCGATCAGGGTATTGTATGTCACAACATCCGGTGCCACACCCTTGTCATCCATCTCCTTCCTCAATGCAAGCGCCTCCCTTACCGATCCTTCCTTGCACAGGGAATTGATGAGCACATTGTATGTCACTACATTTGGCTCCAGCCCCCGCTGCACCATCATGTCCTTCACCTTTGCAGCCTTACCCGTCCTTCCCTCTTTACACAAGTCATCGATTAAACCAGTGAACATGATCACATCCGGTTCGATCCCCCGGCGGGACATTTCTTCAAACACCTTGCCTACATCCCGCCACCTGCCAGACCTGCAGTACCCACGAAGCAAGCAGCTGTACACGACCACGTTGGGCTGAACACCACTCCCGCACATCTCAGCCAGCAGCTCCAACGCCGCGTCGAGCTCGCGTGGCGCCGCAGAGCCTGACAGACGAGCATGCCGTGACGCGATTTATCGCCGGCGCGGCAGCGGCCTGCCTGCATGGACCGGAGCAACGCGACGGCCTCCCCGCGGCGACCCGACGCGCAGAGCCCCCCGATGACCGTGGTGTCGGACACGGCGTTGGGGCGGGTGTCCGGTGCGCGCCTGCAACATGTCGGCGAGGAGGGAGAGCGCCTGCGTGCGGTGGTTGCCACCGCCCATCTTATTTGGCGGCGGCGGCGCGCGCGCGAGGACGGTGTTGTAGGAGACGGCGTCGCGGACATCCAGAGCGCGGAGAGGAGGGGAGCGGGCCTCGGACGGGCTCCCCATGGAGGCGGCGGTTGAGGAGCGCCAAGGCCACACGCAGCCCGTCGGAAAAAAGCACGGCGAGGAACGGTGCCATGGGCGGGCGGCCGGGGACGAGGAGGCGATGGGGGCGGCAGGTGGGCGGGCGAGGCGAGGCGGTGTCCAGCACCCGAGACGAGACGGGGCTCCAGGCGCTTCCTCATGGCGGGCGGGCGGGCAGGCAACATGGCATGCAAGGCAAGGCAAGGCAGCAATGCGTGATGAAATGTGGGCGGGAATTTGGGCCAAAGCCAGCCGGCCGATTTAGGTTTGGGCCCTTTCGAGGGCCCCATCCAGGCCCTCGGCAAAGATTTTTCATTTTTTTAAATTTTCTTTGCCGAGAGCCATTGGCGAACCCTCGGCAAAGATCCCCTTCTTAGAGGGCCGAAGCTAGGCCCTCGGCATTTTTTTTTGGTTTTTTGAACCCAGTTTTTTTGTGGTGCTATAATACATTATTTAAAACTCAATTTTAAAATTTGGGCCAATTTTGATTTTTTTTATATATTTCCCTAATTTATTTCTTTTCGTTGATTTTTTCGAATATTTCAAATTTGAACTGCATGTGGATGGAATAATGCAATTTAGTGATTCGAAAAATATTATTCATGGTATTTGGTGTATGTTGAGTCCCTATCCACGAACTCGCATCAAATTTCGGGCATCTTCTTCACGTAACATGACGAGGAACTTGTCGGAAAAGTGTTTTTAAATTATATAAAATCCATACGAAGTCCGAAAATCACAAAACTTGGCGAGATGTCATGTTATCGCATGTGTAGGCTGTGGTAAAAAATTTAGAAGGTTTCGAGCAAGTTATGACGTCGGATGCCGAATACCCAAGCATCTCCTCATGTGATCACATGTGGAGATGTCACATGTGGAGATGCCTGGGTATTCGGCATCCGACGTCACAACTTGCTCGAAACCTTCTAAATTTTTTACCACAGCCTACACATGCGATAACATGACACCTCGACAAGTTTCATGATTTTCGGACTTCGTATGGATTTTATATAATTTTAAAACACTTTTCCGGCAAGTCGGTCGTCATGTTACACGAAGAAGATGCGCGAAATTTGATACGAGTTCGTGGATAGGGACTCAACATGCACCAATTAACATGAATAATATTTTTCGAAACACTACATTGCAATATTCCATGCACCTGCAGTTCAAATTTGACATATTCGAAAAAAATCAAAGAATCGAAATAAATTAAGGAAATATACAACAAAAAGTCAAAATTGGCCTAAATTTTAAAGTTGAGTTCAAAACAATGTATTGTAGCACCACAAAAAAACTGGGCTAAAAAAACAAAAATAAAATCTTTGCCGAGGGCCTCGCCTCGGGCCCTCGGCAAAGACGATTTATAAAAAAAAATGGCCGAAAAATTGGTTTCACAGGAAAAAAAAACCTTTGCCGAGGGCCTAACGGGTGGCCCTCGGCAAAGCTTGACGGGAATGGCCGCCGTGACCCAACGGGCCTAATTTGCCGAGGGCATCTTTGCCTAGGGCCGCGGCCCTCGGCAAAGATTTGATTTGCCGTGGGCCTGTCTTTGCCGAGGGCCGGACCCTTGGCAAAGGCCTCTTTGCCGAGGGCTCATGTGGCTGGCCCTCGGAAAGAGTGTCTTTGCCGAGTGCCCGAGATTTGGCCCTCGGCAAAGCACGCGTTTCTAGTAGTGGCTTGGTAGTTGCTCCATCATCTCAAGACTAAGCTCAAGATCATCCCTAGCCCAATTATCTCATGAATCTCTCGAATTTCTTTCTAACGCATTTTTGTGAATTTTTGCAAGAAATCTCATGAAATGGCAAATTCATCTCTTTTGCTTGGAAGGAAGGATGAGCTATACCCCATCTTTGATCTAGGTGGCTTAGGGGTCACCCAATCTCAAAGTTAAGTTGCCATGCCCAATCTCATGAATTAATTTGTCTTTTCTCATGATTAAATTGATTCACAAATCACTAGATGCACATGTTGGTTTGAGCTCAAAAACCTAGCAATCCTTAGCCTAACATGTCACCTAAACCACCCTAGAGACCAATCTCACATGCACGGTAAACCTCAACCACAATCTAGACTTGAATCACAAATGAACAACATGAACAAGGATAAACACAGGTTCTGTCGACCTATTGACAGATCGTCCGTCACATTTTACGGATCATCCATCAACACCAGCACTTAACCAAATCACAGACCGACACTTAGTCTTCACTGCTAATAATTTCACGGATCATCTGTTAGATCCACAAACCGTCCGCAAATACAAAAATTGATTTTCCAGATAACACGAGAGCACAGAGTTCACCACGGAGTGTCTGTCAACCTCATAGAGCGTCCGTAAACACAAGACACCCAAAATGACTAAGTCTTAACACCATGGATCTGTGAGTGTAACCCTGGTGCACTAAGCACGGTTTGAAGCAGCTCACTCAAGCGTGGAAGCCTTGGCAGGAAACTGGACAAGTTTGAATCAGCCGAAGGGAGTGGTGGTGACCACACCCACGTTCTGACGCGTCGAGCTGCAGTTATCTTTTATGTGTTTTAGCCTTTGTTTAGGCAGTTGCTTAGCTCGGTTTAGTGTGTGAGTTTGCTACTGGTATAAGTAGCCTGTCCAAGCACTCGTGTTAACTGCTTGGTTCATTTATAATCACCATGTACTGATCACATCTATCTGAGTAAAAGAGCTCTGTCAGCCGACAATTCTCTGAATGTTCCTAAGTGTTCAGTTCGTGTTTTACATTTGTTCTTCATTCTGGCTAGGATTAGCCACTATAGGAGGGTGTGATCTTGTTCCTAAATCCAACATTTGATATCGGAGCCATTAATCACACGTTCTAGCATCCACAAATACCACAAAGTTGATCCAATGTCGATCTCTGCGGGCGATGGTTCACGGGGAGTTGGAGGCAGTGGACAGCAGGTCTATCCGAGCTTGACGGTGACGAACTACACCAGTTGGTACATCCGGGTGCAGGCGATCATGGAGGATCAGGGGGTGTGGGAGATTGTGGAACCGCCAGAAAGGACATCAGACAAGGAGCAAATGTCTGCAGCGGCCGGCAAAGATAAGAAAGTTCGATCTCATCTTCTTCAGTGTTTGCCGGATGATTGTTGATGCATGTCGTGAAGCTGAAGAGTGGAAAGGAGGTTTGGGACTCTTTGAAGGTGCAGTTTGTGGGAGCAAATCGGGTGAAGGAGGCGATGTTGTAGACGTTGAAGAGTGAATTTGATGCGTTGCGGATGAAGGAGGATGAGACGCTTGATGGGTATACTGGAAGACTGATGACGATGTCAGTGAAGTTCAGTAACCTTGGTGGCACGTTGGATGATGCTGCGATGGTGAAGAAGTTGTTCGACACCATGCCCGATCGTTTCATCAATGTCGTGGCCGGGATCGAGCAGTTCTTTGAGCTGTAGAAGCTGGCGTTTGAAGATGCAGTTGGGAGATTGAAGGCGTATGAAGAACAGACATGGCGGGGAGCTGGATCCGTGAAGAATGGTAGTGGTCAACTATTACTCACTCAAGCTAAGTGGGAGGTGAGGCAGAAGAGATCAGGCGGCGAGGATTTCTCGAAGAGGGGAAGGTCATAGGATGGTGGCATCCGTGGACGTGGCCGTGGCCGTGGCCGTGGCCGAGGCCGTGGTGGTCATGGTGAGTCATCTAGGAGAGATGGAGCAGGTGGTGGCAAGGATAGGAGCCTGTTGACAGTCGTTAACCCTTATTTTTTACCATCAATATAACATGCAAAACTGAATAAATATAACATAGGTTTAGGGGTTTAAACTAACAAATTCCACAAGTGTTGATGAATCTATTTCTGCAGGAGGATTTAATCAGAAAACAGGTAAAGTGGACCTATTCGTCAGAGCAAATCATGATCATCCGCGACGAAACCAACTTAGAAGACTCCTAATCCACCGTCCAAAACAAACCGCCGCAATTCGACCCAAACGGGCACAGGGTGGGGCTGGCCGGCCCCACCTGTAGGCCGGCCGGCCTATGGGGTCCACCAGTCAGCCCCTGCTTCATATGTCGGTGCTCCACCACCTCTAAGGATCAATTTAAGCTGCGTATCAAGGTCGGTTTGAATCGAGAGTCTAGATGGATCGTTGCCACGGATTCATGGGCCCACAGGATGCCTGGTGCCCCCTATAAAAGGCCCCCATACCTCCTCCAGAAGGCATCAGTCCTGAACCTAGAGACAATCCCAGATATCATTCAACCTCAGAGTTCTCTACACCAATATTCATAGGCGTAGCTAGCTAAGTTAGATCTAGAGAGTCAAGCTTCATGCTTGGAGTCCCGATCCTGTCAGAGTCTAGCTTGGTATAGTCGTGTATTATTCATACATTTGCTATGACATTGTTCTTCATATTTGTCATGTTCTTAGTTATCATGTTCTTAGTTTACTTTGATTATATGCATAGTGTAGTAAGAGTTATCATTATGTTTATGCATAGGATCGCAAAGCGCTCATTCTTGTTGACGAACAGGGTGAGTGGTCGAAATTGTGTAAACGTGGTGCTTATACGTTGTTTACCTATGGATGCACCCTACATACTAGATCGTGTGGTAGATCATGAGGGTGACAGCCTCACTGTGT